AGCATATTTGGTTCCTGATAAAGGCTCTCTTCCTGGCCTGAGATGCCTACCTGCTCATGTGGTGTTTTCACATGAGCTTTCTTCTGTGCTAGCAGAATAGGGCAAAACAGGAGTCAGGAGATGAGAAATGGGTCTGATATTTCTTCCTTGTTTAAAGACACATATCCCCTAGGGTTATCCTTATCCTTATCCTTATTACCTTATTTTACCTCAGTTGCCTCCCTGAAGATTGTACTTCCAAATATAATCTCATTGGAGGTTAGGTTTTCATCGTGTAGTTTATTAGTTGAAACAGTAGACAGTGATTTTCTTACCACTTTAGAGGTTTATACTTTCTATGACTTCAGGAGAGGGAGCATACAATAATTGAACCTATAACAAAAACTTACTGAGAATCTAAAATTGAGAAGTTAGCATGCAGTTTTGAAGAATCACTGTCACTGTCACTGTCATCCCATTGTTCATTGATTTGCTTGAGTGGACACCAGTAATGTCTCCATTATGAGACTTGTTGCTGTATTTGGCATATTGAATATCGAGCTTGGTTTTATAGTCTCTGGATCTTGGCAGAGTCTCCTGCCCACACACCTGGCTGTCCTCACCAGGGCCCCTTGGAGGGGGGAGGCGGGTTGAGGTTTTCTCCCTGCCCTGAGCAGAGCACTGGCAGCTGAAGACCTCCGAGACCCAGCCACAGCCATGCTCAAGACCACTCTCCAAATGCTCGAACGAGCATCACGCATGAAGGAACCGGCAGAGGAACCCAGGTGTGCAGGACCCGGGGCTGAGATCTCCAAGCCTGCTCTGATACGGACTGGGCCTCCTCCACCCAGATCTCCCATCTTCCAGTAGCTAGGCAGTTACACCCACCAACTGCAATATTGAAGAATAATATAAAAATATAATACGCGTTTGATCTTTCTATCTTACCATCACTACAAGAAAGGGTTATTATGTGATTTTTCAAATGTTCGTATGAATGAGCAATAGGCAATGACATTAGCCAGGCAGTATTTGGAAGTTGGATTGGAGAAGAGAGAGGCAAATGGTAGAGAGAAGACTAGTTGAGTTTAAATTGCTCAGGTAAATGATGAAAGTCTGAATTCTAGCTATGAAGAGAAAGATGAAACCTCCAGTATTATTTGGAAGATAAATGTTACTTCTCTTGTCTACATAAAATAAAATTTTTACTTCTGCTAAATTCATTAATTCCATTCTTATCTATCAAAATTTTGTTTACTTTCTTTTGTTTATAAATAGATCATCTGTAGTAAGCTAATTTGGTTAATCAGAATAGCTATAAAATATTTTTACTATTGTCTCACTTTTTCTGTTTTCAAGTTAATGGGAGAGTATTATAATCTTACTGGCCTTCAGTTCTTAGACTGGTATTCTGTGTCATTGAAGACTGAGGTTTTCTTTTTGAGTGTCAGGTTTTTGAGAGGCACTGAGAGTTAAGAGAATTATGTATATCTTTTTACTACAGAAATCTCTCTCACTACACTAGTTCTTGGTTATGTTAGTGTCATTGCCATTAGTAATGCCTGATAGTTTTACCAATTGCCGCTTTCTCATCAAAGTGTGGTGCCTGTAGTCCAGCTGTCTGATTCATGAGCTAGGAGGTGGGATATTCTTTTTTTTTTTTAAATAGATCTTTGTTGACACACTGTATAGTTTTCTAGTGGACATTAATATGTTTCTTTTTGTTGTTTAAAGGTTGGAATGCCTCCATGCCTGTCAGCCTTCTTGAGGTTTTCATGTCTAGTACCAAGTGTGGGTTTTTTTTGTTTGTTTTTGTTTTGGGATCACACCTGGTGATGCTCAGGGGTTACTCCTGCCTCTGCACTCAGGCATTACTCCTGGCGGTGCTCAGGGAACTGTATGGCATGCTGGGGATTGAACCAGGCTGGCCACATGCAAGGCAGGTGCCCTACCCGCTGTACTATTGCTCCATCCCCAACCAGGCCTGTTTAAAGTGTGAAGCCTCAATTCAGCAGGGGCCTCTACTTTATGAAAGGCCAGGTAGGGACTGTGCCTTTGATATACACTGATTGTTGAAACTTTAATATTAAATTTTAGGTTGTGTTGTTTCATTTAGTTATAATTTGTGTTCTGCTTATGAATTTTTTTCTCTTAGTTTACATGAAAATATTTTGTCTTTCTTTAATCACATAATTCTTTTAACAAGGTAGCTGAGGAACCTGCTTTGGATTTATACTTTTCTTATTCCCTCTCATTCTTTTTTGGGGTGGGGAAACTCATAAATGGAGCTCAGGAAGTTTGTAGGGGGCTCTGCCTGTGATTGCCCCAAACTCCAGGGATGAGACTTGGGTTAGTTTTATGCAAGGCTTATACATGCCTTAATCCCTGTACTATCTCTTCATCCTCCTCCCTCACCTGAAATCCTAAGTACTAAAATGTTAATTCTGGTGCCAGAGAGATGGTACCAGCAGAGAGGGTGCTTGCTTTGCACAGGACTGATCTGGATTTGATCCGCAATGTCCCATATGGTCTGGGGAGCCCACCAGAAGGCAGAGTGAGGAGTAATCCTCAGCACAGCTGGGTGTAGCCCCCAAACAAAAATGAACAAAGCAGTGAGAAAGACAGTCTGATGGTCAGTAGGCACATGTAAAATGCTCAGCATCATTTTTCATCAGAGAAATCCAGATCATGATGACAATGAGATACCATCTCACACTAATGAGAATGACACTTATCAAAAATAGTGGGAACAACCTGTGTTGGTGGGGATGTGATTAAAAAAAAAAATCTTAGTCCACTGCTGGTGGGAGTGTTGTCTGGTGTAGCCCCTGTGGAAACAGTATGAAGAGTTCTCAGTAAACTTAGAATTGAACTGCTTTAAAACGCAGCAGTTCTACTTTTGGGCATCTGTCTCCAGTGCCACCATGGAAACACTTCTGCCGGCTTTGCTTCAGAGACCCATAAGTAAACCTCAGAAAAGATCAAAATCCACAGTTAATCTTGGACCACGCAAGACCAAACAGACCAGGGTAGATGAGAGGGGAGTGGATTTGCCTGATGCTCATCCAAGCATAGCACCCCCCCTACACACACACACATACACACACACACACACACAATCCAACCAATCCAACATCACTGCCATGTCCCCATCTGGACTCCAACATCTTGGGTCGGACCTCCCCAAGATACAATTTGCTGAAAATTTGGGTATGCAGGTTTTGTGACTGAAATCTCCAGGCTTCCTCAGGGTTGGGAGGGGCTGCCGCCCACCATGTCCCCTGTACTTCTGGAAGCCTTGGCAGTCAGGTCCATACCCCTAACGTGCCACCCAGTTACAAAAGCTACTCCAGCCTTACCTTCCAGATAAAATTGCTGAATGCCCAGAACAAACATGATGACCTCAGAGAGTGAAATAAGAAAAGTGCCCACCATAGAGGCCGGCTGGGGATTGAGGGGAGAGTGTTGGGAGGTGATGGGAGGGAAACTGGGAACATTGGTGGTGGGAAATGTACCCTAGGGGAGGGATAGGTGTGGGATCATTGTATGACTGAAACCCAGTCATGGACAGCTTTGTAATGGTCTATCATAGATATTCAATAAAAAATAAAATGGCATTTGTACAAGAAACATTGGAATGTATACGAACTCTGGATTTTCTGATTTTGTATTATAATAAATGACAATATTTATTATATATACTTTAAAAGTGTTAATTCTGTGTTGGATCTCTTCAAAATAACTATTTTCCTAAGTAGTTCTGACAACGATTTGGACCATTTATCTCCTAAAACTTTTTCCTTTGGTCATATTAATTTTCTTTATTGTAATTTCTAATTATTGAATTGATAAATAACCCTACTTTGAGCATGATTATATCATCAAGACAAGAGCTAATTTCCTCCTGGTACTGGATAAAACCTATGCCTTAAGCTGATAATGATATTTGTATTATTTTAGGTATTTTAATGTATATTTCAACTTAATAATGCTGTAAATGATATTTTGTACAGTATACAAATTTCTCCAATGGAGACGTCACTGGGCCCGCTGGAGCAAATCGATGAACTTTTAGGTTATTCTAAATTAATCAATGAAAACATTTTCTGGGACATCTAGGACAAAAGTGTCCAAATGAAATAGTTATTTAGATAACTTTTCTTGCTTTTTTTTTAATTTCCCAATTTTATTTTTTATTTTTATATGTATATTTTGGGAGGTTTGGGACCATATCTGGCTGTACTGAGGGCTTACGCATAGCTCCTTGCTCAGGGTTCACTCCTGAAGGGTTTTAGGGGTTTATATGTGGTGCCAGAGATTGAACCCTGTGAGCTGTGTGCAAGACAAGAACCTTATGTGCTATGCTGTTTATCTGGTCTGGTCTTGCTAACCTTTTGTATACTGTGAACTTTTTTTTTTAACTGAAGTTTTTTTTAAAAAATTTTTATTAGTCAAATGCCATGAGGTACAGTTGTAGACTTACAAAATTTTGTGCTTGGGTTTCAGCTATACAATAATCGAGTACCCATCCCTCCACCAGTGCCCATTCTGCACCACCATGGATCCCAGTAGCCCTGCCACCCTCCAATCCCCCCATCCACCCTGCCTCTGTGGCAGGGCATTCTCTTTTGTTCTCTCTCACCTTTTGTGTGCTGTGGTTTGTAAAAGAGGCATTGAGTGGCAATTATGTTGAGTCTGTAGTCTACTGTCAGCATGCATCTTCCGTCCTGGGAGGAGGCCAGTCTCACACTCTAGGGGAAAAGTCAGCTCAGATAGAGAAGGTAGTACTGTGAACTTTTTGACCATTTTCATCCTATGCCTTCTTGTCATTTTAAATTAAGGCAAAAAAAAATGTAGGATTTAAAAGAATATTATGATGATTCCAATAATAACCATTAAACTTTTGATACGGTAAACATATGATGCAGATTTATTAATTTTTTTTTTGTGGGGAGGGGGAGTTGATCTCTTTTTTAAAAAGTTACTAAAAAGCTATTAAAGACTTCTTTTCTTCTTTGTAGTGCTTTTGTTCCTTTGAATGTACCCAATAACAAAAATACTACAGAGTGGGAAAAAGTGAAGTTCCTATTTGAAGAGCTTGGAAGTAGCCGTAAGTATTAAGTTCATTCATAATAATTCATATTTTATGAATCTTACGGTATTTTGTGGAGATGTTCATTACATTGTTAGTAACTTAATTTAATAGTTCTTTACAACAGTTAAGGTATGTTTGGCGAGTAAAAAGCATTCTATTGATAGCCATTATGTAGTTAATTTCTTTGCTTCATAAAACTATTATATTTTAATAAAAATACCTTTAAAATATTTTAGCATTGAACATTTAATGCTTTCTGTGTGGTCTTTGATTCACTTAGGATAACAGAAAAATATGTTAAATATGCTAGATATATTGGTTTCTATTTTAATTTTTAAGTTGAGAGCCCTATATTCTATTTGATCATGATTGAATAAGTGGGCTATTAAATGAAATACAAATTGCAGAGATTTTGTGTGGTTCCTTCTCTGTCTTAACTGCACTTACCCCTCCCACTTTGTGGCAAGCTTCCTACCATGGACCAGTCCTCTTGGACCCTGTTCTACCATTTTGGGTATTACTTACGTACTATGTGTAATTTGGGTTTTGAAAAGAAAAGAACATTGGTAGATTAAGGGGATTATGTTAAGAAAGTAAAAATTTAAAAATGCCATTGTAATAGAAATTTATATCAAGTAAATATGTGTACCTATTACTCAGAATTTCATGTGGATTTATTTAAATGCAATAATTTTATTTTCAAAGGAACATAAATTCTTATCAATATTATGCTTAAAATATTTATTATTTTGTATTTATTCTTTTAGGTAAGTATTTCACATTCTTTAACCAGCTTTTCTTTGTACTCAGATTCAGTATTAAGTGATTTTTAAATTAAATCTTGGAGTCTTTGCTAAGTAACATTTTAATTTTCTCACGTTCACTTAAGATTTCATCTTGTAAGTTGTGATCCATTAGTATCTTGATGATACTAGCATGTGCAGTGATAGAACGCCTGGCATAAATTACTGTTGAATCGTCATCTTATTACTGAGAAATAAATTGCTTCTTTATTCTATTTAACTCCCTCAGGTCTTTGAACAACTATATTTTTATTTCCTAAATGTTATTCAATAAGTTATATTTAACTTTCAGTTTTAGTGTAACTTGAGTCAATGGTTATATTAATAGAATTATTTTGGTTTTTATAATCACATTCTCTTTTGCCTTAAAATTATTTCTAAAAATTTAAAATCATAAAATACCATAGTCTAATAATATATTTCACTTATCATTATTAGTAAATAATTTTGTTTGCTTTTGGGCCACACCTGGCAGTGCTCAGGGATTACTTCTGATCCTGTACTCAGGAATTACCCCTGGCGGTGTCCGTTGTGTACTAGTCTACCTACTGTTGTTTAAATGTGATCAATTGATACTTTTAGTAAGATGAAGAAAGTAAGAGCATCTTATCTTTGTCTTGATTATTTGACCATATTATTGTTTTTAAAAATTAAGTCTTAAACTTTTGACTTGTGTAGCTTGTAAATTTGACTTAAATTCATGTACTCTTTAGGTGCTTTATAAAACTAAGACTGGGTTACTAAGAAAATGGATCGTTCTGGGTGCTGCAGAGAAAGTAAAGTGGATATGTAGTCAACCTGGGTTTGATCCTTTTGTAATACTCTGAGCACTATCAGGAGTGGTCTCTGAGTACAGAGCCAGGAGTATGCACTGCGAAATGTGGCTCAAAAACCAAAAAGAAAAAGAAAATAAATCACTCTTGCTTACATTTCATGATAAATCAGTTAAAAATTACACTTGGTTTAATGAAATTCACATTTAAACTTAATCAGTACAGGTCTACTAGGACAAATTAAATAGGATCTGTATTAAAACTAGAAAAGTGGACCTGGAACAATAGTTTATTAAGAGCTCTGGCCTTGCATGTAGTCAATCCCAGTTCAATCCCTGGTGCCCTGAGTATCACCAGGAGTGGTCCATGAACACAGAGCCTAGAATAAGCCCTGAACACCTCTAGAAGTGGCCCCCAAAGAGACAGAAGTTCAAATTTGCAATTTCTGTCCTTCTTATCTGTAGTTCATTGTCCTTTTAAAAATAAATTCTTAAATAGATCTTATAAATCTTCTTATAAATCTTATAAATCTGCTTATTCTGCCAAGTGGGCAACTGATTTCTTTCACCTTAAAAGAATGAAATAAACAAATTTCATGACTTCATATTTCCTAATAGCTGCATAGTATTCCATTCTGTAGCTGTACCATAGTTTATTTAAGCTGGCGTCTGTTCTCGGGCACTCAGGTTGTTTCCAGATTCTGGCTATTGTGAACATAAGTGGATGGACATGAAGAGTTTCACTCTAGGTGAAATGAGTGAGAAAGAGGGGGACAGATATAGAATCACTGCACTCATTTGTGGAATATAAAATAACAGAATATGAAACTAATACTCAAGGACAGTAGAAACAAGGGCCAGAAAGACTGCTACATGGTTGAAAACCTGCCTCAGTGAACTGGAGAAGAAAACAGCTAGGATAGAGAAGGGATCACTAAGTCAGTGATGTGGAGGGATTGTTCAGGATGGCAGATGTGTGCTGAAAGTAGATTAAAGGGCCAAACATGAAGGCCTCTAAGTATCTTATTGCAAACCATAATGCCCAAATGTAGAGAGAGAGAGTAAAAAGAAAAGTATCTGCTGTGTAAACTCACACAAAAGGGGGCACGGCACACAGCGGTGGTGGCTCTATCTCTCCCGCTGCCCTTGTTCGGTCGTCTCACCCTTCTTCCCCCACCCCGGGAGGTCGATGGCGATGGGCAGGCAAAGGAAGGAACGAGGGCCAGACTGGTTGGTCTTAGTCGCAGTTTATTCCAATCCTCTCTTTATCCACACCAGTCTCTTTTCTCTGCCTCTGCCGCCGCTTCTTCCTCCTCCATGCTACTTCATTCTCCTTCTCCATCCTCCTTCATCCTCCTCCTCTGGAGTCTGGATTCTGATCCCTCTTTCTCTTCCCTTCTGATCCCTTCTCAACCCCCAGCCCACTCCTATAGTCTAGTTAAATCCCAAAGCATGAGGGGTTGGGGTAATAATTACACATAGGTTTGGTCACAATCAATAGGGGTAGGACTCTTAGCCTCAGGGAAAGCCACTCCTAGGACAGATCCTTTCTCAGCAGGACAACCCACCCTAGGGCGGGATCCCATGGGTGTGTCTCTCCTCTCCTTGTCTGACAAGCACATAAGCATATATAATAGAAATCATTTTGTATGGATACAGTAAGAAGTATCTTAAAACTTAGAGAATTGCTCTCCTAGGGTCATCTCGATCTCAGACTACAGTGCTCAGGCCAGATAGTCTTTCCCACCCCTAGCAGGATCCTAGTCTCTTCGTTACCTTTGGATCATGACAGCATTTGTTTATGATCAAACTCTTAACTTATAGTTAAGAATCATGGCACTTTGGCCTGGCCCATTTCGATGCCAGGGTAGTTCATCGCTTGCCCTGGGTTCAGTCAGTCCCTCTTCAGGACCCTGCCTTTGGGGTGCTAGGAAGTGAGGGCAACTGAAGCTTAAGTTGAGAAAGCAGATGCCCGGGAGTGAATCATATTCAAAGCCAATCAAATCCTAAGTTACAAAGCATAATGTTAACGGTCTTCCTGTATCTTTACAAAAAGGATATTGCCTTAAAGTAAACTGTTCATAAGGCGTAAGGAGAGGAGAAAGGCAATATTTCACTCATACATATAAAATCATGGATTTCTGAGAAATCTCACCTTACAAATTAACAGAGTCTGATTAGGGGGAAAGCTGATTAACTGGGTGGGGAGGAGAGCATAGGGAAGACTGTTTACAGATAAACACAATGGAATGGAAGTGCCTCAGGAGCACTGTGGTGAGTGCAACCAGATAAACCTAAGCTTCTTGTGGAAGAAGGACAAAGCAATGTTATCCTACATCCTGCCATAGAGGTGTGTGTGAGGGGGGGAAGATACTGGGGACATTGGTGGTAGAAAATGTACAGTGGGGGCTGGAGGGATAGTGCAGTGGGTAGGGCATTCGCCTTGCACACAGCCGACCCAGGTTCAATTCCCAGTATCCCAAAGGGTCCCCCGAGCATTGCCAGACGTAGTTCTTGAGTGCATGAGCCAGGAGTAACCCCTGTGAAACACTGGGTGTGATACTACCTCCCTCCCCCCCCAAAAAAAAAGCAAAAAAAAAAGTACGATGGTGGAGGGATGGTTGTTCGATCATTTTATGACTGAAACTCAGTCATGAAAGTTTTGTAACTATCACGGTGATTCAATAAAAAGAAGGGGGGGATGAAACAAACTCTTAAGATTTTGGTTAGGTTGTGTATTAAAAACCTACCTGGAAAGTAAGAGCAACAAGAAATTAGAAGTATCAAGATTGGGAAATTGGAAATGTCAAGACTCAATAATGAGGCAGAAATTGCCTCCATTTTGAGGAGAATGAAAGAAACTCTTAGGCTATAAAACCTTTTACAAATCAGTTTATCAAGAGCTCTTTAAATTCCTTTTCTCCTTGTGGAGTCAACACTTGAAGGACATGTTGGATTTACTTCACAAGAATGTATTTAAAAAACCAGAAATTTTAATTTTGTTAAATTGAGTAAAAATGTTTGAATATCATGGACACTTTTTACAATGTTTTCTTTTTCTCCCTTGCAGATGGTCTAGCTGCGTTGTCATTTTCCATTAGTTCTCTGACCTTGATTGGAATGTTGGCGGCTATAACTTACACCGTAAGTGCAGTAATGATGATTATTTACTTAACATTAAGTAATCACTTTATGAAGCCATTTTTTTCTTTTCTTCCTAAACACTGCTCAGGGTGCCTGTCTATTCTTGACTGTGCAGGCAGTTCAGTGCAAAAGGCTGAGCTTCTGAGCTGCTTGGGCCATGCGGTGTTGGGGCCCTAAACAGGGTTCATTCTGCATGCCCTGCAGGCACCTCAGCCCTGTATAATCTCTTTGGCCCTGGTAAGCAATATAGTTTACCTTAGTAATATATTCTGTTTAATTTATTTTCCTCTTTAAATTTTTGTCAACTTTATAGAGGAAAAACTATTAATAATTTTTTTTTACCAGTCCCCTGAAAGAGTTTTTTTACCAGTCTCCTGAAAGAGCTTTGCAGAAAATTTAAAACTCATTTAAATTGCATTAAAATGCATTATAGTAAAGGGGAGATGCCTAGATCACAGTGTTTGGAGAGGAGAGAAGAAAGCAAGGGGGGAGAAGAGAATGTGAAGTAATGGGTGAACGGGCATCTGGGCTTCAGTTTATACTGGTGATATGGGTGAGTGGTATAGCCATATTTCCCAAACACGACTCAGTGAAACTGAAAACATGAGACCTCAGCTGCAGCCACTGGAACTTTGTAATGTGCCTGTCAAGTTGACAGGTGGGGGTGGGGCAGAGGTTGGGGGTGGGAAAGGAATACGGGAACACTGGTGGAGGGAATTTGACTGGTGGTGGGATTGCTGCTGAAATATTATATGCCTAAAACTCAAAGTGAACAAGCTTATACATCACAGCTCTTGAATAAAAAATAATAATAATAAATTGCATTATAAGATGCGTTCAAAATTTAGTTGGGGACTAAAACAATTGATCCATTTTTCTGTGTAAGTGGAAGAAGCGGTAGAGAGAAAGCCTGTTTTCGAGATCAGCCCTGGCATCTATGGACATGAGTGACTTTGTGAATAACCTAATACCTAAACCCTAGTTCAGACCACTAATACTCAAAATGTGTTAAAAACTCACTGAAATATTTTGCTTATAACAAGATGTTTTATTATTGCTAGATGATAAATGGTACTAATGAGCTTTTTTTCAGGCGCAAAATTTTTAGTTACATAAAAACTTGAATGCTTTTCATGCAGTGGGACATGGAAGAGTGCAATAGTACATATTCTTGGGTTTTAGAAAACTGAATTAAAGTACCCAAAGTGGAAAGTTATGGTACTTTGACCCTGAAATACAAGGAATTATTAAAAAGTAAAACCCTGCCTGAGAGAATCTCTGACTATGAGCAGTGGCATTATAGTTTTTTGTAATATACGTATCAGTTGAACTATTTTTTTAATAATGCGTTATTTTTGGAAGATAGTTGATTATTTAAATTTTACCAAGATTATAGTCACTGTATCATAATGTTAAGGAGTAGCCACATAGCAGCATTCAGTTTTTAAAGAGCAGTGTCAACATTGGTTTATTTGTTGTTTTTAGCTTAAATTGAAAAGGGAGACTTAAGATTGGAGTGAAATCAGGGACAAGTATTTATGAGATGTCTCTAATTTTTGGTGCCACCAAATGGGAAAATGTCGAATAGTTATATTTTCATATGAAATGAGTCATTTGGAACACTGAACTGTCTGTGGAAGCATTGATTACTGTATGTTTTAGTATATATACTTGGTAAAATATTTAAGATGCTTTCTAAAGTATTTATGAATAAGTCATTACTGTGTTAATCTGTATACTTTTATTTTAATATATAAGCTACAAAGAAAATTAGAGATAAGTTAAAAATAAAAGAATAGGGGTAAAGCTCTATTCCCAATAGTCTTTGAAAATAAATTCCCTTCAGAAGTCATATTTCTCAACTTTCCATGTAATGGAAATAATATTTGGCTATAATGGGTGTATAATGAATATATAATAGATACAGTGTTTGGCTATGAGGCACGTTTATTTTATATACCTTGGAAAGAAAAAGATGTTTATTATTTATCATTTTTTATTTGTGAAAGAAGCTTTAAGACACACTTCTTCAAAAACCAGTATCCTGCATTCATAAGGAAAATATTAGGAAGAAATTTTTAAAAGTTCACGTTTGGAATGTGGTCTTCTGAATTTGTTAATTGGATATTCATGTCCATGTTTTTAGTAAAGGATCTTTCATTCTAACAAAAGATTAACAGTGCAGTTTTTCTATTCCTTTGCTCTTGTGTAGTATTTCTTCAAAAATGCTAACGTACCCATTTTTAAAAAATTGAAGTTATTTTTATTATATTTTGATGTTTCTTTTCTTGTGCCATGCAAAAGGCTATCCTTTTATATTTATCTTTAGGGAAAATATGCTTTTCCAAATTAGGTAGTATAAGAAAGCAATAGAAATGTCTTAAGTTATATATTCTTTCCAAACATTTTTATATTTTTAAGATATAAGTGCTAATTTATTCTTGAAAGCTGAAACAAATAAAATAGGAGTCAATTATGGCTGACCTAAAAACATTTTAAATAATAATCTCTTTAGCTTTGTTGATTTTCTGACAATGCACTAGAGGGCAGTAGTAAGCAGTAAAAATTTTGAATTTTTGAAACGGCTCGTCTTTGCGTACTTTTTCCCCCATAGATGTTCATACATCTTTTTTTCAAAAAAGATTAATCTTAAATGATTGCTGTTTCAGGATTTTACTAAATATTTTGTACAAAGGTGTTTTATTAAACTTACAATAATCTAAATTTTATAGTTAATATTATTTATAGTTGAAAATCACCAAAATTTAAAAAATATGCCAAAAGTAGAAGCAATGATACTATTATTTTGCTTTCTTCAGAGTTTTACAAAAGTATAATTGTATTTTTATCTTAGGGATATGTTTTTTTCTTAAATCAGATTAAGCAATTTAGAAATTCAGTTCTTCTCTTTCATTAAATATATGAATTTCATGTAGGAAAATAAATGTAAACATCTGGCTCTTTTAAAGAGATTTTGGTTAAATATTCTTTGAGAAAGTTTCATACTTACTCAATAAATGTTTGTTCTTACAATAGAGAAAAAACAAGAACCAGCATATTTACAAGTCAAAGTTCTTTTTCCCCTGATTCTTATCAACCTTATGTTATAACTCTGAATTTTTTACTGTTCTTAAAGATAAACTTGGGGGACTCGGGGTGCTTGTAAGAGCACTGTTATGCTTCTCTGGAAGGAAGAAAAGGGCAATTCACTCATGAAGCCTAGAGCACTTAGGGTCAATATCCAACACATGTGTTAGCTTAATTATACACCTCCAGAAATGCCTATGACTTGCAAATAGACTTGCTGTAAACTCAATTACAATACACAGTGTTGTGCATTAACATTATAGATCTCTTAAACTTGGGTAATGAGAATCACTGAGAAAGTTCTTAAAAATACACATTCTTCAGTAAGACTATAAATTACAATGGTAGAAGATTATTTGAAATGTAAGAACTCAGTCTCTTTTTTATATAAGAACAAACATTTAATGAATAACTAAGAAACCTTTTCAAAGAAATATTTAATCTATTGAAAAAAAAAGACAACTAAAATGAGATAGAAGAACATGGCATAATATCATGAAAGTCTATGAGAAACCTACTACTAGTATCATCATGTTTAGTGGTGAAAAGGTTTTCCCCATAATGTCAGATACAAAACAAGAACATCTGTTCTTATCACTAAATCTCAGAATGGCATTGGAAATTTCCTAGTCACAGCCTTAGGCTGAAATAGAAACTAAGAAGAGAAGTAAAGCTGTCACTATATGCAGGTCACAAGCTGATGTACAAAGAAAATTCTAAAGAATGCACTAGTTATTAGAATAATAGCTAAATACAACAAAGTGGCCGACTGCAGACTTAACATGTAAAAATCAGTTGAATTCTGATATGTGATATGCAAACACTGAACCAGGAGAAGGAAGCCAAGAAAGTAGTCAAATTTATGAAAGCACCTATAAAACAAAGTACTTTGGAATAAACCTAACAAAGGGGGTGAAAAACTTGTACTTTTAAAATGACATTTCTTGGGGGTATGGTGCCGCCAGCAGGTCAATCTGTACCTGTGAGGTGAGTGCATCAGCAGCCTGACGGCACCTTCAGACTTCCAGATACCCCAACATTGCTGCTGTGCCTTTGGCCAGACCCCAAAAACTTGGGGCAAAGTTTACCAAGAAAGTAAACAGCCAAAAGTTAGGTATGTGTGAGACACCCCCACAAACCACCTCCGGTTCAGCTATATAATTGGAGGCATGGCCTCTGTGGTTCCTGATCGAACTGCTTAATGGTCATAATCCCAGAGACTCAGAAACGAATCTGCGAAACCCAACGGCTTTTGGCAGAAATGCATCCAGTCCCTGCAGTAGGTTACAGGCGCTGGGCCACCCCAAGTGGGAATAGGTTTTGTGCCTTGGCCTGTTCCCCCTGGCGGCCTGATGGCTGCCATCCCCCAGAGGCCACTGGACAGTCAGTTTTGGGCCCCCAGTGACGAGACACGCAGGGCCTCATGGGATGGGGATGGAGCTGGTCCTGTTCTCCCCACCCCAACGAGACCCCGAGTCACCGCCAACAAATGGCCTCCCTGGCTCCTGATCAAGCCGTTTAATGGCCATGATTCCAGAGACTCAGAAACAAATTGCAAAACCCAGCGGCTTTTGGCAGAAATGTGTCCAGTCCCTGCAGTAGGTTACTGGCGCTGGGCCACCCCAGGTGGGAATAGGTTTCATGGGAATAGATTTTTTGGAAGAAATCCCTCCAGATTTAATTGTTAAAATTTTGGAATTTCAAAAGATCTGAGTGTTGGGGTAAAATCCCAAATAATAATGGTGGGTCTGGTGTCAAAATATTGAATGTAATCAAAGTAGAGAGAGAGTAATGTGGAAATCATCTGCCCCACAGGTAGGGGGAGGGTGTAGGATGGGGGAATACTGGGGTTTTGGGGGGTGGAGAACGGGCACTGGTGAAGGTACGGGTGTTTCATTGTATGACCGAGACTTACACCCAAAAGCTTTGTAACTGCTCACATGGTGATTCAATGAATAAAATTATAAAAAATTTAAAAAATGACATTTCTCTAAAAGAAATATAGAATATATAAGTTAAGGTAAAGGTAAAGGTCCTCCCGTTGATCGTCAATTTGCTCAAGCGGGCCCAGTAACGTCTCCATTGGAGACTTTGTTGTTACTGTGTCTGGCATATCGAATACTCTCGGTAGCGTGCCGGGCTCTCCGAGAGGGGCAGAGGAATCGAACTCTGGTCGGCCATGTTGGCTGCGTGTAAGGCGAATGCCCTACCCGCTGTGCTAAATGAAGATATTATACGCGTATGTGTTGAAATAATTATTGTAGATTAATTGTCCTATTTAGAACATTATTTAGAGTCAGTACAATCCCTATAATAATCCAGTGTCATTCATCAAGGAATTCAGACAAAAGTTACTGAAATTTTTATGGAATCACAAAGATCCCAAGTAGCCAAAGCAGTCATGAGACAAAAGATTTGAGTGGGGAGGAAAATTGACACTGGTGGTGGGATCGATATTTGAACCTTGTATGCCTAAAGCCAGCAATGAATAGCTATAAATCATGGCGCCTTAATAAGAAAAATAGGAAGTAAAAGAAGGCAAAGAAATAACTGAGGCATCATATTCCTTAACTTCTAAATATATTAAAGATCTATCGAGTCAATACCAATACCAGTTATGGTATTAGAATCAAAATAGGCATACAGATTGATAAAGTTCAGAGTTAAAAATCTTTATACACAGGAACGGTTGATGATGAAAGAACCCAGAACATAAAGTGAAGATGAAGCTTTTAAATAAATGGTGCTGGAAAACTGAATAGCCATGTGTGAAAGAATGATATTGGAACACTATCACACCAATACAAAAGTTAAGTCAAACTTAAGGACTTAATGTTAAACCTGCCCTCATAAATAAAATACAGCAAAGAAAAGAGGCACAATACAGCATGATAGTAGTTTCTGTGACGTCTTCAGTGATTGGATTTTAGTGGCAAAGGAAACAAAAGCAAAAATAAACAGTTACATCAAACTGAAAATGTTACTCACATTGAAAGTGTGATTAAAATATCTAATTAAATGGGGAATATATTCACAATACTTCTATCAAATTACTAATTTCTGAGAATATGAGGAACTTAAAAAAACAACTCTATCAAAAAATGGGGAGAAAATCTGAATAGACATTTCACTAAAGAAGATAATCAGAAACACGGATGGTCAACAAGTACAAGAAAAAGTGCTTATTTTTACTTACTATTAGAAATGTAATTCAAATGATAATAACTCCTCAAGCCTCTGAAAATGACCTTATTATAAAGGCCAGAAGCAAATGTTAATGGGAATGTGGAAAAATAGTATCCTTGTATCATACCCTACTGGTTGGATTAAAAATTGGTCCATCCTCTAGAGAAGATAGTGTGAAGATAATGCTTGTATATACTTCTACTCCTTGGTATCTATCCAAAGAATACACACACACACACACACACACACACACACCCACACACACCCCTATTAAAAAATTTGCGTAGATCTATGCTCACTGTAATTTTGTTTATGGTAGCCAAGGTTTGGAAATAATACATGCTCAACAACAAATGAATAGATTAAAAAATATAGCTATAAAATACTCATCACCATAAGAAAAGTAAAATGTTAGCCTTTTGTGACAACATGAGTAGAACTTGAGAGGATTGTGGTAAGAAAAGTAGTAAGATAGGAGACAGACAAATACCATATGGTCTCATTCTTGTTTGGAATGTAGATGAAAGAAAGGGTAGACATAAAACCAAAGGAAAACAAATCCATGATTTCGTACTACAGAACTGAAGTTATCGAGGTAGGGAGGAGATAGGGTTATTGAATCGGAGAGGATCTAGTGAACATGATGGCACACATGTACTTTTAAGATTTTAAGCTTATGTAAGCTCTTGTCCAATTAAAAGTAAGGTAAAATTTAATGAATGCAAGATGTGTAGCTACTAGCGCAACCAAATAGGCAAAAACAACAGTAAGGGATTAAGACGCTGTTATAAGAAAAGGTAAAAGAAACTCAAATAGACTTTCTCTTTTTTCACATTTTCAGTATTATAAGGATATCAAATTCAGTGCTAAAATAGAAATGTTCAGCCTTTTTATTTCTATATTTTACCAAGATTATTACAAGAATAAATTTGACAAGAATAGAGTTGATAAGAAAATCACTCTTCTGTGTCTAAATTACATTTGTTTCTCTTACCTTTCTTCTTTATTGGATAAGGACATCATGAAAACATTAATTTGTGTTTTAATATTTTAAATAAAAGATTTGAAGTGTTTCTCCTTTAATAAATACTGGATTTGCAAATTAGGTAATGATTTCAATTTATCAAATACAATATTCTCAAATTATATTACCTCGTAGAAATTTAGCTTATTTCGAAGACTTCCTTCTCATGTTCTTTATTCATATTTTCTCCAATTATGCTGACTATTTAAATCATGGTGTAATCAATATTTATTCAATCTCTAATGGAGACTCAGCAAAAAATATTAAAGTAATCAAAATTGACAGTAAAATTATCTGAGATTGTCCTAGGAGTTGATCACCAGGAAGGCAGAGAACATGAGAGAGAATGTACAGAGTCACCGAGATGTTGGAGTCTGAGGGTTAAGCTTGAGAAGTAGCTTTCATTGCTTTTGTCACAGTCATTGGTCTAACCTCAGTTACATATACATACCTGATTTCGAATAACATAGTTTGGCTGTGTGTTTAGGAGAAACTCAAAAAGATTTGAAAACATGAGCTTGTATCTGCTATAGAGCCAGTTGCTGCAACCAGAAAGTGATAGTTATCATTTTTGCATCTAAGGAGTAAGGTCAACCATGGTTTTGAATTATGACTATATAGCACTTGTCATTAGTGTTTTTTTTTTAAGCTACATCACTGTCTTTTATTTATTTATTTAAATTTTAGTGAAACACCATGAGGTACAGTTGTAGACTTACAAATTTTTGTGTGTGGGTTTCAGTTATACAATGATCGAGTACCCATCTCTCCACCAGTGCCAATTCTCCACCACCACTGATCCCCATATCCCTCCCACCCCCTATCCCCCTCATCCCACCCTACCTCCGTGGCAGGGCATTTTCTTTTGTTCTCTCTCTCCTTTTGGTCATTAGTTTTTTTCAATAGTGGCAAAAATAAAGTAACTTTTGGGGATTGGCGAATATGGAATTGGGCAATATAAAATAGCATTTTATATTCATAATTCATAGGGCTGGAGCGATAGCACAGCAGTAGGGCGTTTGCTGAGCCGGGTTCGATTCCTCCATCCCTCTCAGAGAGCCCGGCAAGCTACGGAGAGTATCTAGCCCTCACAGCAAAGCCTGGCAAGCTCCCTGTGGCGCATTTGATATACCAAACACAGTAACAAGTCTCACAATGGAAATGTTACTGGGCCCGCTCGAACAAATCGATGAACGATGGGAGGACAGTGCTGCAGTGCTATTATTAATTCAGATTAATAGTTAAAAGTTACTCAGGAGACATTGGGGATACTTATGAAAATATTGATCATAAATATTTAAATTTGCAGGTAAATGATATGTACATTGTTCCTGCGCGAATCAAATAATGTGTTTATTAAAATACTTGGATATCACTGCATATACATAGAGATAGAGTCTTAAAAATAATTTTGTAATTGGGCTTTATTAATTGACAAAATTTTGTAATATCATTATTAATTCACATTATCCCTTGATTGAAGTTGTAATTTTTTACTTTGATAAAGTATTATGTTTACGTTAATTTAGCAACTTGTCCTTTAAAACATAGGTACTGCCTATGCTGGGAAAGATGTAACTGTATAGCTCTAAATATGAAATAGGAGAATTGTGGCACAGTAGAATCATCATTTTCCCATGTATCATGTTCTGTATTGACTGTCCCTGTTCATAATTTCTTATCTTTTTGGTAGTTACTTGTAAGAGGGCATTTTAATCTAAAAATTCTGTATACTATATTTGAAAAATAATGTGATCATAACACATTCTAATTGTTTTTAGGCTTATGGTATGTCAGCACTGCCTTTAAATTTAATAAAAGGGACTAGAAGTGCTGCTTATGAGCGTTTAGAAAACACAGAAGATATTGAAGAAGTGGAGCAACATATCCAAACGATTAAGTCAAAAGTGAGTTGGGATTTTATTGTAATTGGAAAACACAGAAGTATTTTGTCTTTGAGCTCTTTATTGATGTACTTAGAAGTTACTGTATCTTTGTCTCTTATGAAATGTAGGACCCTTGTTGAAAATTTCAACAAATGTTGTCACAATTTAAAAACAGAAGTTCTGTTTACCTTTATTAAAATCTTTCTGATAATTGGGTATACTTGCTCTGTATATGACATCTGATTTTACTATATCACTTATGTTCATGTTTATGTCCCAGTTGAATAAGCCAAGTGAGAGTCCAACAAAGTATACTTCTAAAAATACAATAAAGGGTTTTTTTTCCTACCTACCTTCAAATAACATAAATAAATGTTACTTACAGGTCATAGGTAAAAAATGAAAAATTTTCTTTTTTTTTTTATTAGTGAAAGACCATGAGGTACAGTTGTAGATTTACAAATTTTTGTGCTTGGGTTTCGGTTATACAATGATCAAATACCCATCCCTCCACCAGTGCCCATTTTCCACCACCATGGATAATATCCCTCCCACCCCCCATCCCCCACCCCACCCTGCCTCTGTGGCAGGGCGTTCGCCTTTGTTCTCTCTCTCCTTTTGGGTGCTGTGGTCTGCAAAAGAGGCATTGAGTGGCAAACATGTTCAGTCCATAGTCTACTTTCGACATGCATCTCCCCTCCTGGGAGGATCCTCCAAACACCCTGTATTTGGTGCTCCCTTCTCCATCTGAACTGCCCTTTCCCCTAGGATACCTGGCTGGCCTCTGAGCTATGGAGTAATCCTCCTGGTGTTGATCTCAGCTATTCTTGGGTATACAAATATGGAACGCTTCACGAATTTGCGTCTCATCCTTGTGCAGGGGCCATGCTAATCTTTTCTGTATCGTTCCAATGGAAAATTTTCTTAATTCCGCTAAAAAAATGATACAAAAGACGGTTAATAATAGCATTTATTTTATGCTTTATATGCTATTATAAAAGAATAATCTTAGTAATAATTCTAGAAATCTTCTTGTACAGTATAAGAATGTGCAACTCTTGTATTCTGCTGGTAATTGAAGCAGGATCTGAGAGTTCAGATACAATGTCACATAGTCATTTGACTATAGGTAGAGAAGGCTTGGGACCAGATTATGTTACGTTAAGGAAGAGAAGAAAAAAATAGTTAAGGGGAAACAGTTGGTCAAAATACATAGAAGCCCCCATAGAAAGACATATATCTTTTCATGTAAGTTCATCATATATTTGGAAAATAGGGATCAAGTGGAAGTTTACACATTCACATTCTGATGATGACCTTTGTTCAGAGATATGTATTACGACATAGAAGATTATCCATTTTTTTTAGTGAATTTACCTGTACATTAGCCAACTGACTAATGTTTCTATTGTCTGCACTACTAAATTGGATGAGTACTTGACAGAGATCTTAATAATAAATATCTAATTGTTATTGTTTTTTTGTCTTGTTATTCTCAGAGCAAAGATGGTCGACCTTTGTCAGTAAGGGATAAACGCTCCTTAAAACAATTTGAAGAAAGGTTAAGAACACTTAAGAAGAGAGAGAGACACTTAGAATTCATTGAAAATAGCTGTTGGACAAAATTCTGTGGCGCCTTACGTCCCCTGAAGGTGAATGGAGTTAAAAATAATTATACTGTCATTCTTCTTTCAGGCTTATACTGGTGATTCATAGATTGAGTTCTACTCTTCAGACCTTCCAGCATGGTGTTTAAGTAAATAGAGAATTTAGTTGTTTATTTGGGCAAGATATATAACCTCTCTTCATCTCTCATGTATACTGCAAATATTATGACAGTTGTTTAGACATTTAAATTAAAATACAAGCTATATTATGCTATTGCATATCTGGTAAGATTTTGCTTTTCTACAAATAAAAGTTCTGGTATTCATATTAGAAGTCGGGAGCATTAACAGAAGAATAAAACTTGCTTTTTCATTAAATGCTTGTGAAAATATGTTGAGCATATTTTTTTTCACATTTTTGCATTTTGCTTTTTATTTGTTTAAAAAATTTTAAAAAATATATTTAAACACTATTGTTTCGGGCATTTCGTTCCAACACCAATCCCACCACCAATGTGATCTTCTCTTTTCAGTTGTCCCCAGTTTGCCACCCACCCCCAACCCTGCCTTATTTTATATTTTTTTAATTACAACCAGCTGGTTAGTAGAATTATCAAAAAATTGTTCAGTAAAAGATTTGCGAAAATTGTTACATCTCACAACAGTGTTATTAAGATCATTGAGGACGTATGGAGATGTTTGTTGTTAGTTGAGCCTTCTGTGTTACTGTTTCTGCTTGTTGAGCTTAGCGGGCTTCTATGCTGCTTTTCCATCTAACTTTCTTTGCTCCTACTGGGCTGTCAGATATGTGGAACTGGATTGATTCTAGACCCCAGGGTTTTTTATTTATAAAATTAAGTAATTAATTAATTGTTTGGTTTTTTGGTCACATGGGAGATGCTTAGGGGTTCCTCTGGCTCTGTGATCAGAAATTACTCCTGGCTTTGTTCAGGGGACCATATTGGATGCCAGGGATTGAGCCCAGGTCGGCCATAAGTAAGGCAAATGCCCTACCACTGTACTATCTCTCTGGACTTCCCTAGAGTTTCTCTCTCTCTCTCTCTCTCTCTCTCTCTCTCTCTCTCTCTCTCTCTCTCCCCTCCCCCCCCCCCCTTTTTTTTATATTGCTTGCCACTCTTGAATTTTTGGCGAAGAGATACATATAAACAAACACTTACCTTTTTTAAAATTTAATTTTTTAATTGAATCGCCATGAGATACAGTTACAAAGCTTTCATGACTGAGTTTCAGTCATAAAATGACTGAACAACTATCCCTCCACCAGTGTACATTTTCCACCACCAGAATCCCCAATATCCTTCCCGCCACCCCTACCCCCCTGCCTCTATGGCAAGCACCTTCATTCTTACTCTCTCTTTACTTTTGGGCATTATGGGCAATACAGATACTGAGAGGTCATCATGTTTGATCTTTAGTCTACTCTCAGTACACATCTCCCATCCTGACCAATCCTTCCAGCCCTCGTTGACTTAGTGGACCCTTATCTATCCCAGCTGCCTTTTCCCTCACTTCATGAGGCAGGCTTCCAACCGTAGAGCAATCTTCCTGGCTCTTGTCTCCTGTCCTTGGGTGTCAGTCTCCTATTATGTTATTTTATACTGCACAAATGAGTGCAGTCCTTCTGTCTGTCCCTCTCTTTCTGACTCATTTCTCTTATCATGATACTCTCCATGTCCCATGCACTTATAAGCAAATTTCATGACTTCATCTTTCCTAACAGATACATAGTATTCCATTATGTAGATGTACCAAAGTTTCTTTAGCCAGTTGGCTGTTCTTGGGCATTCAAGTTGTTCCCAGATTCTGACTATTGTGAATGTTGCTGCAATGAACATGCAATTGCAGATGTCATTTCTACTGTGCTTTCATACACCCTCGGGATATATTCCCAGAATTGGTATTGCTGGGGGGCTGGAGCAATAGTACAGCCGTAGGGCATTTGCCTTGCACGCAGCCGGCCTAGACAAGCCGGGTTCAATTCCTCTGTCCCAGGTTCAATTCCTCCACCCCTCTTGGAGAGCCCGGCAAGCTACCAAGAGTATCTCGCCCACAAGGCTTTTGACGTATTCAATATGCCAAACACAGTAACAGTAAGTCTCAAAATAGAGACGTTACGGGGCCCACTCAAGAAAATCGATGAATAACGGGAGGACAGTGTTTGTTTTTGTTTGTTTGGTATTGCTGGATCATATAGAAGCTTCATTTCTAGATTTTGAAGAATGCTCATAATGTTTTCCAAAAAGGCTAAACCAGTCAGCATTCCCACCAACAATGAATGAGAGTCCCTTTCTCCCTGCATCCATACCAGCACTGGTTGCTCTTGTTCTTTTGGATATGTGCCAGTCTCTGTGGTGTGAGATGATATATCTCAGAGTTGTTTTGATTTGCATCTCCCTGATGATTAGAGCATTTTTTTTCATGTGCCTTTTGGCCATTCGTATTTCTTTTTTTTTTTTTTTGAGGAAGTTTCTGTTCATTTTTTTCTCCCCATTTTTTTTTTTTTGATTTTTTGATGGGGTTGGATTTTTTTCATGTACAATTCTACTAATGTCTTGTATATCCTGGATATTAACCTCTTATCTGATGAGTATTGGGAAAATATTTTTTCTCATTCAGTGGGCTCTCTCTGTATTTTGGTCACTGTTTATTTTGAGGTACAGAAGCTTCTTAGTTTAATCTAATCTCATTTATTTATGTTTGTTTCTACTTGCTTGGTCAGTGGTGTTTCATCCTTAAAGATGCCCTTGGCATCAGTGTCATGGAGGGTTCTGCCTACATTTTCTCCATGTACCTTATGGATTCAGATCTGATATTGAAGTCTTTAATCCACTTTGATCTGACTTTTGTGCCTGGCATTAGACAGAGGTCTGAGTTCATTTTTTTGCAAGTAGCTATCTAGTTTTCTGAGCACCACTTGTTGAAGAGGCTTTCCTTGCTCCACTTCACATTTCTTGCTCCTTTATCAAAGATTAAGTGATCATATATTTGAGAGTCTGTGACAGAATATTCAACTCTGTTTCATTGGTCTGCTGGTCTGTTTCTATTCTAATACCATGCTGTTTTAATTGATTTGTAGTGCAGTTTGAAGTTTCAGAAGGTGATGCCACCTACCTTTTTCCCAATGATTACTTTACCTATTCGTGGGCTTTATTATTTTATACGAATTTCAGGAATGTTTTGTCTCTTTCTTTGAAGAATGTCATGGGTATCCTTATATAGAGACTAGACCGCACTGAATCTGTATAGTGCTTTGGGGAGTGTTGCCATTTTGATGTTAATCCTCCTGATCCATGAGTGGAGGATGTGCCTCCATTTCCTAGAGTCCTCTTTTATTTCTTGAAGTAGTGTTTTGTAATTTTCATTGTATAGATCTTTTACCTCTTTAGTTAAGCTGATCCCAAGATACTTGGTTTTCAGAGGCACTATTATGAACGGGATTGTTTTTAATATCTCTTTTATTATTTGTATATAGAAAAGCCATGAACTTTTGGGTGTTGATTTTTGTTGCCTCCACTTTACTATACAAATCTGTTGATTCTCAAGGGTTTTCTGTAGAATCTTTAGGGTTTCCTAAGTATAATGCCATCCGCAAGTAGTGATAGCTTGACCTCTTCCTTTCCTTTCTGGATACACTTGATATTCTTTTTATTGCCTGCTATGACAAGGACTTCTAGTACTATATTTAATAAGAGTGACGAGAGTGAGTAACTTTGTCTTGTCCCTGATCTTAGGAGAGAAGGATTTTAGTTTCTCCCCATTGAGAATAATACCCGCTGTGGGCTTGTGATGGATGGCTTTGACGGTACTGAGGAAAGCTCCTTCATTTCCCATTTTGTTGAGAGTTTTTGTCATGAATGGGTGCTGGATCTTGTCAAATGCTTTCTCTGCATTTATTGATATAATTATATTGTTTTTAATCTTTCCTTTTATTGACATGTTATTTATGCTGATTGATTGTGAGTGTTAAACCATCTTTGCATCCCCAGGATGAATCCTACTTGGTTATGGTGTATGTGTCATTGGATTCTGTTTGCTAGGATTTTGTTGGGGATCATTGCATTTGTGTTCATCAGGGATATTGTCCTGTAATTCTCTTTCTTTGCGGTATCTCTCTCTCCTTTTGGTATTAGGGCCAAGTACTTAATTTAAAGCTATCATAATATGATCCTATTATGTATATCATAATATACAAAAGCAACTTGTGCTACTTGCCTTGGGCTTTTTGTAGATCTTTGTCTTATACAACATATCTATAATATATATAGATATATATATATATACATATATATGGAGCTGACATTTTAGTCACAAAAATTTTGTATGCATTAGTAAACAAGTTGTAATTTAAAAAGTGTGATGAATAGGAGGGTGAAAATTAGGCATAGTGAAGATAGAAAGTGGATTTGAGCTTGACCTTTTTTTTTTTTTGGTCCATAAGAGTAGATCACCATGAAGATGCCTGTTGCTCTTGTGATTTCACAGTGCCCTGTGTTCCCTACGTTATACACAACTTATTTCAGAGACCTGCGAGTTCACACTATGGACTTTGTTCTTAGCATTCAATTTTGAGTTTTTGTGGATCTTTACACTTATGCAACTAGTTAATTTAGCTCTCTAATCCTTTTCTCTTCCTTAAGATCTTGTTTTTCTGTGAAAATGGAAGCATTGTATGAAATGTATTAAGCTCAGATAGAGTGTGTATATATGCATACACACACAAACGCAATACAGTAACTCAGAAACTATAGTTGCTTTGTTTCAGTTTTATATCAGAGTTTTCAGCTTCTTAAAAATTGCCTGTAACTTAAGGGAGAATATTAGTTTTGTGTTGTAGTCACATAAAAATAAACATCTAATTAGAATAAGTTAATGGCTCCTTTAAACCACATTTATTTATAGTGCAGAACATTTTCCTAGCATGTAGCCTAATGTTCACTAAGTACTTTATCAAAATCTCCCTTGACAGAAAGGCATACTTTTAACTTAACAGATAATTGGTATTAGTAATTTGTGTATATTAAATT